AACCGATTTCAACAAAACTTCACTTTTTTTTTTGGCAGGTTGTGTTTGTTATTGTCTTGCACACTTTTTTTCTTTATTTTTACATTCAGAATGCTTTAAAAATTCCATTTACAAGACAATTGTTTATGATAAAATTCTATTCAATCGGTAGACTAATAACGATTGAAAACAATGTTTTTGTTTGAGTTTCGGTTTGACGTATTCGTAAAAAAAAAAAAAAATAAAAATAATTAAGACATGCGTGTCCGTCAACCTTAAACAATAATCTTTGTCAATTTTATTTTTCAGTCTTTATGATGGTTGATACTTGATCTATCTCTTACTGTTACATCCCCGGGCAACGCCGGGCTTTACTGCTCGTTGTAAAATTAAAAAAAAGAATCCTTTTTCCAACTTAAAATTTTAAAAAACAAAGGTGCCCTCTAAATATTATGCAATCTGCTTATAATTTTATATATCATTTTTCAATGAATGGAATAAATTATGGGTGACAATTCAATTTCAGCATGCACTTCAAAAATAAGAGACACCCTATTATATATATAATATTGCAGCAATAATACTCTAAGCAGAATGGAGTTGACCTATGTATTGTGGCTAACTCACGCATGTATTTTGCACTAGGAGTACCTAATCCTGCAAGAGAGTGAATACAAAATGAATGCACATTTTAAATTTTCTTAAAGACGTTTAATAAGAATTAAATATTAATTATCACAGTAACTTAATAAATAAATTAATAAATAATAAATGGTCTTCAATCTTATCTAAAACATTTAATCACTAATAAGTTTTACTGTCTAAAATATATTTCCCAAAACTAAATATTAATAGTTTCTAAATGAAATAATTTTTTTTGTATTGTTGCTAAAAGGAAAATGAGTAAAAATGCAACAACACAATGAAAATATATCCCTTGATAGTTTAAAGAAGTATAATTAATTTCAGCAAACTTTACAATATGTTTTTTAAAATGTATTGAAGTTGAAAGCTATATAACACTGATATCCAACTTGGTTATTTTATAAGTTAAGATATTTAACTGTTACAAAGCATGAAAATAAAAATAAGATTAAAAATGATTAAAATTTTCATAAGGATAAGAACAACTGTAAATGTGTATTTTTTGCAAAGGACTGTATCTTTCAATTATTTATTAGATTATTAGAAGAACTATTATTACTTTTATTTTTAAAATATTTTTAAAAAATCATGCTAAAAGGTAGCAAAACTATAGCATAATCATGCCAGATAAAAACGGGATAAAATTACTTGGTTTATAATTTTTATACACCTTTACTTATAAATCTCATTTGGCTCCGAGTAGGGGTAAATGCAAAGCAAAATTCAAAATATTTCCAATACCATAATAATTTAAAATAAGAAAGTTCAAATATGGGAAAAAATATTAATGAAATAAAATGATATACAATTTTTGTTGGAAATGAAATTTGAGATTTTTTAATCCTAACTTTTGTGTGAAAAACTTTTTCAGGAAACTTCAAATAGAAGTTTGTTTAATTTTTTAAATAAATAAAGATGAAAATCTGATTCGAAAGATTTAGGTGTTAAGAAAAAAATGAATTTCGTAGTAACAAATTTACGTTTTATGAAAAGAATGTTTATTTTTAATGCCTCGGTTATTGAAAATAACATTTATTTTTGTTTACGTAGCAATCTACATAAAAAAAATGAATCTTTGCAATAACCGAGACTAAAAAATGATTTTATTGATTAAAAATATTATAAAAACTAATTGTTGTAATTTAACTGCCTCACCACGAGGTCAGTTGGTGACACAAGGTCAATGTTTTATGTGAATATATTTTCGACTTCAGTTAAAACCCTAACCTATATACATATATTTTTGTAATTATTTAATTTAGGTATCTCCAATTTGAAATTAACATGCTGAGTTGTTTCCTTTGCTAACAACCATGTATTGTTTTCTTCCAATTTATGTTTAATCCTTTCTTGTCACTTTCCCTCACTACCTTCTGTAGAAGTTATTGTATTTTCTTTATATTCCTGCCATCGACAGTGAGTCATCTGCATATCTTATGATGTTAACATTGTGGCCGCCAATAATGAATCATGGTAGGACTTCTTGTGCTCTCAGAGTCGCCTCAATGTATAGGTTGAATAGGGCACTTCGACGTGGTGTAATGATGAGAAAGCTTGTCTGAGTAGTGAATTCGATCCTCACTGGGTGCTCCCATACTTTCGGCCTTGTGCCACATCTAAGCCGGGCTTAGAATATCACTATGAATAAGTCCGGCGAGAAGACACCTTCTTGTCTTAGACTCCTTTCTATATTTATATATTTACTGAATTCATTTTCTCTCCGTATGCAGAAGGCTTCAAACCAGTGTATGTTCTAGATTATTTTAATATCCTTCCGAAATACGAGGCTTGTCTGAAAAGTAACGGGACATATGTTCTTCGATATGCGCAGTATCGTCCACAGTGATTTCTTGCGAAAGACCAGAATATCAATCAGTATGTCTACAAACAGATCCTGCAAGGTTTTCTTCGTTCAATATACGAGAAGAGACGAGAGTTTAGGCAGGACAAATTGTGGCTGATTCACCACGACAATGCACCTGCGTACAATGTCCTAAGCATTCGGCAGTTCCTGGCCTAGAACAATATTGCCGTACTGCAGCAACCTCCCTATTCACCTGGTCTTGCTCCGTGTGACTTTTCTCTTTTCCCCAAGCTCGAGGAGCTCATCAAGGGAACCCGTTTTGAGAGCGTAGGTGCTATCAAGACGACCGAATCGATGACACTGAAAGTTGTCCAAGAAGCATCCTTCGGGCAGTGCAGAGAAGCGTGGCAGAGAAGAATGGAAAAGTGCATTAAACTTGAGGTGGATTACTTTAAACGGGAAACCATGTAGTTTGCGGTGTGTAATTGAAATATTTTTTTATATACCAGTCCAATTACTTTTCAAACAGACCCCGTATATGTCAAGATTACCCAGCAGACCCAACAATCCATTTTGACGTACTTTAAGAAATGGTTTTGTATAATCTATAAAACATAAGTATGCATCCTTCTGCATTTGTATTGCTCTATCAGGTATCCATTCGTGTATAAATATGCATTCTTTGATACAATCTCTTTAACGAACTCGAGCTGTTCGTGTTCCAATTCCGGTCTCATTCTGTTGCTCGCTCTATTCATGTAAAATCGGATGATACCTTTTATATTACTCACTAGCAGTAGAGCCCGGCTGATTGAATAGAATTTTATTATAAACAATTGTCTTGTAAATGGAATTTCTAAAGCATTCTAAATATAAAAATAATGAAAAAAAGTGTGCAAGACAATAAGAAACACTTCCTGCCAAAAAAATGAAGTTTTGTTGAAATCGGTTGAAAAATGTAGGAAATCCGATCCCATATATAAACGAATACACACACAAACAAACAACCTGGGTTTTATAATAAGTATAACTCGATATGAGTTGTCCCCCTTTCATTCTGGCGAGAGTGATGACACTTAATCGTGTTTTCAAATTGATTTCGTGCAAAAACAATTGTGTTTTTCCAGTTTTGGGCGCTGTCAGAACCACCGCAAGGTAAATTTACGTAGTCCTGTCAAGTTTTGTTGAAATAGGTTGAAAAATGTAGGAAATCAGATCCAATATATAAACGAACAGACCCACACACACACACACACACAACCTGGGTTTTATAATAAATATGATTAGACTGGTTGTCCGATGAAGTTCTCATTCATTTACAACTGGCATCTTAGCGTGAATCAATTGTTATCGTTTCATAGAATAGCTGAGAATTTCTTTGTATACGAAAATGACAAAAGACACAATGAGCAATGCAAACGAAAAATGACTAAAATATACTCGTTCTATAGAATGTAACTAGTCCTACTTTAAATGTTTTGTGATTTATGGTGGCCGTTAATAATTAAGTATAACTCAAGACTTCAATGTTAAAATCAAACAGTATTTAATTAAAACTGCAAATAAATACTTACCAAGAACAAAGAAGTAAAAGTCAAGCAAAAATAATTAACCAATTTAGTGAACACCTTGTTAGTAGCGTGGCTCAGTTTAACGTCCGGTAAATCGTATCTCAAATCCCAAATTATTGACACACAATAATTCACACTAATTCGACTGGATAGTTCCATTCAGTATTTACTCAATAATCACTGCAGTCATTAGCCTGACACCGCTATCTATACACCTGGCGGAAGCATATATTCATATGTCCAGAGTGTCATGCTCGAATTTGGATGCTAGAAAACTTTAATTTATATGCAAGAGATATTAGAAAATCTGAAGATTTTCCTAGAAAGTAGGCATGTGAATATCGAAATTTACTCGATTTATTGAAACTCTTTCTGTCCAAATTGGACATTTGTTTTGACTTTCGTTAAGGAGTGTAAAAATGGCTTATATGTCATCAAAAAACTCAAGGAAAGTGTATAGCTCTAACAATAGAAAACTGCATGCTTGCTATGTTGATCACACAGGTGCATATGACCCCATCAATAGAAACTTCCTTTTCTCATACATTAAAAACCGTCTACCAAGTACTGTCTGTCTAGATCCGATAGAGGAACTATATCGGGCCACAAAGTCATGCTGAAACATTCCAAACCTCATCAAGTGAATGGCGACGAGGAAATGAAAACCAAATATATTTAATCTTTTTCTAGACTATTTCTTGCGCATGTACAAGCACGGATGTTAAAAAATGGCTAATGAAAATTTATGCATTCTTTACTACATCTTAACCAAATTTATTAATAGACAACAGCATTCCTGCTTTCCCCTACCAATACCAATGTAATGATCATGATATGTTATATATCGATGACATGCATAATCAATGTTGAGAATATACGGACTTTCAAAAGATCTTATTTTGTTCTATTCATCATCCTCTCAATTACTCTCAGTCTACCTAACCAATTTGCACTAAAAACTGCCCGAAAACATTTTCTTGGGAACGTGTTTTGGCTTTTGTTCAATATGTCCATCTCTTATGGGCTCACCTTTGTTTCTCCGTACAAAGAGGGATCGATGACTTCTCACTTCAAAGTGCGTTTCATCCGAGAACAACAATTTTTTTCCAATCATCCACCGTCCAATCTTTATGAGATTTTTGCCATTGGAGTCGTTTATCCTTCATTCTTCCTGTCAAATTCTGTTTTTATGTGGTTTCTAGCTGGCCGCTCCATTCCAAGTAGTCGTAACAGTTGAGTTAGATATGGACACACGGGATTCCACTAAATCTGAAGCCAAGTCCCTGTTACACTGCCTCGGTTTTTTAATGCTGTTTCTGAGCAGCATTGCTTCGTCTCTTTTGACAGTTTTTCTTTTTCTTCCACAACTGCCCTTTCTCAAAACCTTATTGTGAACCAATAGAGCCTACGTTTTCACAACGTGTCCAACACTGGTCTTGCGTAACTTTCGGATTTGTGCTATTCGCTGCACAGATTTGTCTGAATATTCGAAGATCCAATAACCTGCGCACGCTTTCTAAGAGTTATATCCATTTTTATTTCACCTGTTGAAAGAAAATAATCAGTTTAGTTTTAAAATCAGAATTAATAACCGAAAAAACATCTGACTGACAAGCAAAACAATGTAAATCATACAATTCTTTGCCAAATAAATGTTTAGTCACAAATAAATTCTAAAATATTAAAAATTGTTTTAAAAATTGTTCTGTAGTAACAAGGGTGTGCACTGCCTTAACTTTATCGTGATTAGGAGTCACTAAACTATTGTGGCGCTGTCCAAAGACGGTATAAAAGAAAACTATATTAAACTGAAGTAACTGGCCCAATTAATTGGCACAGTACTGTACAACAGCATAAATAGAGAGAGACACATGAGAAAGTTAACATGTGAAAGAATTAGGCCTCAAAGGATATAAGTCACTGCCCCGACATGTAAACAGAAAGGCTGACCCAACTGATTTTAAGATATGCTACCGCAAGAGAACAGGGTGACAGGCAACGATATCAACGCCACAAACGAGATTTAAAGTCAGCCGCTTGTATGCTCGCGAGAAGAAAATCAACATTCGAAGTCACACACGCAACACCTGCATTCATTTCTCGGGAGAAAATAGTTTTGCATATGTAAGTATTAATCTCAAAATTTTACTCGTCGCTACAAGAATATTGTAACACAGGTGAGGCATAGAGAATTAAATATTCACAGGGTATATTAAAAGCAAGAGAATTCGTAGGAAAGAACAAATTCGTATGAGTGTATAGCAACACACAGTGGAAGGACATTTTGGTAATAGGTAAAAATTAAGCAATAGAGAGTTGTCAAACATGAGCAAAGAACAATTGTGAGGCGTCTTGATTACTAACTTACTTGGTACAGGATATGACGATAAACTATATCCGGCAACAATGTCTCTGATCGAAGGACTGATGTTTTGACGGACGTGGAACCGCATTTTAATTGCTGCTTTTTCCTAGGTCCACCCTGACCCGGGTGGTAGTAGGTGTTAGTTTCCAGCTATGCGTAATTAATGTAACCCCAAACAAAAATCAGCAGCGCATTATTTATAATAAAATGACCAATAGTACATTTTTATAACAAAATAAAAATCAATGCAACACTAAAAAATATATATGTTTTATTATAGTAAAAGTACCAGGAATACATTTTATGATCGACAAACTATATATATATATATATATATATATATATATATATATATATATATATATACCATTACATCTCTATCTATAAAAGGCAGGATGTGTGTGTGTGTGTGTGTGTGTGTGTGTGTGTGTGTGTGTGTGTGTGTGTGTGTGTGTGTAACGAATGCACGGCCGCAATTTCCGACCGATTTGCACCAAAATTTACATGCACATGCTCCAAGTTAGCGGGAAGGTCAAGACCGTCTTTGCATTTTCTAACTCCCTTCGATAGTGAAAATAATCTATTTTTTCATGTTTCTACGGCAGTTTTCATGTAGTTTGCGGCCATTTTGTACTAGCCAGAGTGAGAGCCTATAGCTGGCTGCCACGAATAGGCAGGAAGATTCTACTGGCCAGCGTGAGAGCCAACAGCTGATTGACACGAATGTTAACTAGCATGCTAGCATACAAAAAAAATATCGATAGCTCCATTCGTCCCATGTGGGAAAAAATTTAATTTGCATGGCACTTTACTCCAATTGGCTCATTCGCTTGCTTAAACTCATCGTTGATTCTGATTCCGCAGAACTGGGTCGAGTGTGAAAAAGTATTTGTTGTTAACATTCTTTTTTCATTCGGTTTTTCCAGTTACGAGTTTTTGGGGGTTTTTTTTTAAGCTGATCGTTTTGTGTTTTAATTTTGTTTAGTTCTTTTTTCGTAACAGATTTAATGTTTAGTATAGAGCTTAAAAAAAAAGAAGTAAGGCATGTAGCAACATCAGCACGGCAATGGGCACTTCTTTAAAGGCAAGGAAGGGCAAAAATATTTTAAGTCAAGTGATAGCGATTTTTACGATTTTTGAATCAAGCACGGGCAACGCCGGGCCATGCTGCTAGTTATATATATAAAATATCTGTAGTTGAATGCATAAAGTATTTTCATTTAGAATCCGTCATTAATTAAGTCATAGAGGTTGATATGCCGCCAAACAAAATCAACCAACCAAAAAACCAACATGCTACAATTTATTAAATAAAACTGTAATTCAAAATATAACTCCAATAAAACTTCAACATAAAACACACGCATCCCCACCTCTAGTAATTATGTCCGTACAAACATGCATATGCACAAAAGCTGAGTATCATCTACCAGGTATTCAACTGTGAAAGCATAAAAACATGTATCATATTTTTATTACTTCAAAGCTCCTAAAAAATCTTAATTTTTTGTATTAAATGACCCATAAAGGAGTCGATAAACCCTTAAACAGACTCACTTCTGTAGGCCTTCCAGGCCTGTCTTCATCCTCAACACTGCTCCGCCCTTCTTTAAACAATTTAGCCCACTTGTAGACATTTTTGGCTGAAACATGTGACACCATACACAGTTGTCATTCTCCTATGAATTTCAACTGGTTTGCACCCAGAGCAAACAAAAACTTGATAACTGACCGCTGTACAATCCTGGAGCATGCTTCTTGGTCGGCTATATTTGTTAATCGCCAAAACTCTCAAAGTTCGTTTTTTTTAAACTGCAAAAGAAATTAAATCCATGTGAAAAAGAAGTAAACAAAAAATAAAATAAAAAGTAAGCTTCTATCTGTATTAGAAGTCCTTATACCGAATAATTCACCTTATTTATTAAATGACCCTCGTATTAACATATGTGAGAGATATTGAAATGATTAAAATTCTATAAGAAATAAGAAACCAAGTCTTTAATAACATTATTTAAATGGGTCTATGCGATCCTGACGCATCCACGAACAACCTATGTTACTCCACTTTCTCTCAGTGCTTCTTATTACTCATATAAGCGCGAGATTGTCTCGGAACTTGAGATCTCAGTCTAGTACGATAATTCTGATCAAAATAGAAGCCATGTTTTCTTGATTTTTGATTTAAACGAGACGTGCACTCAGGGTATCACGGTTGTATCTTATTTTTTTGATTTTTTTCCCTTTATTAATGCTTCTGGAGGTAAATATTTTCTGCGTTTAGACGTTATCAATCTGATAGTCAGGGATTTGAACAGGGGAGTCTGTATCATCATCAGGCGTACAACATCATGGTTACTGTGCTGCCATTTTGTAAACGAGTTATGGACCGTAGTCTCGACCGCTCGATGTCATGATGTAGGGTAATGTTACGTTTGAACCAGGTTTTTGTTGTGGGTGTGACTGTCTAGTCACCTAATCTTCACCAGATAACCTGCAAAAGATTGATAAGCTTTAAAAAATCAATCAATCAGATGAATACAATACTACTTACCATTTATTATAATAATATGAGAAAATCCTTGCAAATGTCTAATAATTAAAAAGAAGCACACAAAATCAAAAACTGTTTTGAAATAAGATATATTTTCATTAAGTCCGGGGAAAGAAAAAACATAAATATATCACTACTTAGATCTATAGAATTCACAATCCGTCTATCTATCTATCTATCTGCCTGTATGTTTGTCTACCTATATCTGTCGCTCTAGGTAATTGTTTATCTATCTATCTATCTATCTATCTATCTATCCGTCTGCCTGTATGTTTGTCTACATATATCTGTCGCTCTAGGTAATTGCTTATCTATCTATCTATCTATCTATCTATCTATCTATCTATCTATCTATCTATCTGTCCGTCTGCCTGTATGTTTGTCTACCTATATCAGTCGCTCTAGGTAATTGTTTATCTATCTATCTATCTATCTATCTATCTATCTATCCGTCTGCCTGTATGTTTGTCTACCTATATCTGTCTCTCTAGGTAATTGTTTATCTATCTATCTATCTATCTATCTATCTATCTATCTATCCGTCTGCCTGTATGTTTGTCTACCTATATCTGTCGCTCTAGGTAATTGTTTATCTATCTATCTATCTATCTATCTATCTATCTATCTATCCGTCTGCCTGTATGTTTGTCTACCTATATCAGTCGCTCTAGGTAATTGTTTATCTATCTATCTATCTATCTATCTATCTATCTATCTATCTATCTATCTGCCTGTATGTTTGTCTACCTATATCAGTCGCTCTAGGTAATTGTTTATCTATCTATCTATCTATCTATCTATCTATCTATCTATCTATCTATCTATCTGCCTGTATGTTTGTCTACCTATATCTGTCGCTCTAGGTAATTGTTTATCTATCTATCTATCTATCTATCTATCTATCTATCCGTCTGCCTGTATGTTTGTCTACCTATATCTGTCGCTCTAGATAATTGTTTATCTATCTATCTATCTATCTATCTATCTATCTATCTATCTATCCGTCTGCCTGTATGTTTGTCTACCTATATCAGTCGCTCTAGGTAATTGTTTATCTATCTATCTATCTATCTATCTATCTATCTATCTATCTATCTGCCTGTATGTTTGTCTACCTATATCTGTCGCTCTAGGTAATTGTTTATCTATCTATCTATCTATCTATCTATCTATCTATCTATCTATCTGTATGTTTGTC